CTACCACCAGCGACCACCCTGGCAGGGAACACAACAGAGAGTCCCTGACAGAGCAGGAGAAGAGTGAGGTGCAAAACTCAAATTCTAGTAAAAATACCAGACTTAATGGTTTAATTGAGACTGGAGGGACCCCAGAAGACATGACCCCCGTACTCTCTGTTAGCCCAAAACTAAAGCCATTCCCAAGGCCAACTCTTCAAAGATTAGACTGGACTGTGGGACATAAAATGATACTCGTGAAGAGTGTGCTTCTTAGCTCAAATAGATACGTGAGACTAACTGGGCAGTCCTGTCCAGAGGCGAGATGAGAAGACAGAGAGGGTCAGGAGCTGGTTGAATGGACACAGGAAATCCAGGGTGGAAAGGAGGAGTGTGCTGTCACAGTATAGGGAGAGCAACTAGGGTCACATAACAATGTATGTATAAATTTTTATATGAGAGACTAACTTGAATTGTAAACTTTCACTTAAAGTACAACATTAAAAAAAAAAAAAGGCTGAGGTGGTATTACATACATATTTACCATAATTAAAAAAAAAAAAAAAAGAGTTGGAGCAGAAGGATGCCAAAGTGATACTTTGTCATGTTCCCTGTGGTCAGAGGGATGTAAGACCGACTGACCGAAGAGACAGGAATGGCTGGCTTGAAGGGATGGCAGGATCCTGAGCCCTTCTCACCCTGTGCTGGAGATAGGCCTGTAGATGTCTTTTTTGGGAAGGGGACAGTTCACTGGCTGAGCACCAGCTGTAAACCTGGGGCCTGAAAAGACCACCTTGGTGGCCAGCTGGTGAGACGATTTTAGATGAGTCACTTTAGCTTCCCTGGATTTGCTTACTCTTCTTTAGTGAGGGTGGGGTAAGTACGTGTGTGTGCGGGAGGTCGCGTGCTACGCCTCTCTCCCCCACCTTCTTTCCACCTTTGGCCACTTTTTGGGTAGGGAAAAGTATGAGATCCAAAGAGCCAGGGGCTCCAGCAAGATCTTCTGGAATAAGGCTCCTAAAACTGAGTAATGTGAGGGAAAGAGCTTGATGATAGGACCAGGAAAATGGTCCCAGCTGAACTGAGCTGGGTCCCAGTTCTACCACTAACTAGTTGGGTCATCCTTCTAAACATATACCTCACAGGGTTATACTAAAATAAATAAGTAAATGAAAATGCTTTATAGGTTATAATGCACTATTCAGTTGCAAAGAGCGTTCTGTGGAACACCAGTACTGTAGGATTTTAACAAGGGTTAGGTGAAAAAAGGGGGTCAAACAAGTTGGGAACCTCCTGAGTGACACCAAATTAAGAAGATGGTTCTAACTCAGAACTTTTTACATCTTCATGCTCACTGTGCTTTTTTGAGGAGAAAAGTGTCTGCAGCATTCCCCAAATGAAACCTTTTCTCACAGAGAATACACTTTTGGAAGCGTTAAGACTAGACAGTAGTAATAATAGCTGAAATTTATTGGGAGGTACTGTATGGCAGGCACTCTTCCAAGCCCCTTTACGCATAGTGTCTTGTTTAATCCTTATAACATCCATGAAGGAGTACTGTTAGTATCTACATTTATAGATAACAAAACTTGGCACAGAGAAGTTAGGTAATTTAAGATTACACAGTAAGTAAATTCAAATGTGGGATTCAGACACAAGTGATCTGGCTCCAAAGCTCACTTATTCAACAGCCACACTCTACTGCCTCCACTAAATACATGTTGGGTGGTGGTATTATTATTATTACTACTACTGTTGTTATTATTCCAAAAACAAAAATAATATCAGGGCCATATGTATGTATGTATATATTTGTTGATTCAACAAATATTTGTCCAGCACATACTTATGGCCAGATACTATGCTGAGCACTGGAGATACAACTGAAGAAGAGAATCACACTTCCTGTCCTCATTGAGCTTTTGGTCTGGTGGAGAACATAGTCAAGTAAATGGGTGATTGCACTAGAATGTAATAAATATTGTAATTGAAGGATACCTAAGGTGCCAGAGGAGTTCTTAAGAGCAATAACTACCTCACACTAGAGGAAGTGACTTCTCTCAGAACCCTAAAGGAAGTGACTTCTAATAAGAGGCCTAAAAATGAATTGGAGTTAGCCAACTGAAGGTGTGGGAAAGGGGAAAATCTACCTGGCAGTGGAGTGGTATTTACAAAATCTCAGAATCAAGAAAGGGGATGGTGAGATATGAGACTTCAGAGGTGAGTGGGGGCCCTCCTCTTGGACATTTTTCAGTGGCTAGGGCTGCAATGCTGGCACTCCACTGATGTTTGCCCCTGAACTAAATAGCCCCAGCTAACTATGTTCATCTGCTTTTCATGGTAAGCACCTTGTGTATATTTCTATCATCACACTTGTGAAACTATATTATAGTTTGTCTGTTCAGTGATCTTGATTCTTAGACTGTTAACTTCTTAAAGTCAGGAACTGTGTCTTATTCGTTATATACCCCTAGAAGCTACTACCATGTATTCGTGCTCATTAAATGTTGTTTGTTGAATGAATGATGTGTTTTCTTTGTAAAATGAATTACATCCTTCCTGCTTTCTTGGGCCAGATATCACTTTTCCTCAGGTTCATCATTATACCCAGCAGTTAATGTCCTATGTGGCAATTCAGTGATGCTCTTAGGGGCTTTTGAGGTGCTGTACTCTGAATTCCTGTTTCAGCTTTTCATTGTGCTGTTCTTTTTCCTCCCTGCCAGGCCAGCACTTGATTATAATCAATCTGTTTGATTATAAAGCCTTCTCCCCAGTGTTCTTAATCCCTTCTAGTCTGCAGTGGGCTGGAAACAAGATCACCGAGCATGATTTGATAAGACTATTTGTGACTAAGAGTAATCCCTGAGTTAAGTCCTAAGAAGCTCTCTTATGGGAAAAATGTAGACACCATTGCACACGAGATTTTTTTGTTAGCTGCTCAGAAGCCCTCTTACTTCCTGTTCTCCCTGCCCCAAGAAAGGTCAGATAATACCCGGGGGGGAGGGGACCAATCATCATTCTGGAGAGTCCCTGTCTGGAGTAGAAGAGCTGATGGGCTACTGACTCTGTAGTCCAAGAGAGTGTGGTCTGTTCTCCAGCTACACACTCCACCAAATTCACTTTTGCCAAACATTTGAAATGCTTCCACCCAGCCTAGTGTATCCGAGTGCTAGCTACAAACTGCAGGCCGTTCTCTATTAAGGGCAAGTTCCATAGGATCTGTGCTTGCACCTTCACCTAAACAGGGAAAGAAGAAGGGATAACAGCCAAGGCTGGGACCAGAACTTTTTGCACTGGGTTCCTTTCTCTCAGTTCTGATTCCCTCATTTGCATAATGAGGGTGACAGCATGATAATGATAGAAAGAAAGAGTGAGGGCTCAAACAGATTAGACCTGGATTCTAATCCTCACTCAACTGCTCATTAGCTGTATGACCTCAGTGCTTCCGTTTCCTTGTCTATAAAATGGGAATAATAATACCTACTGTGTAAGGTAGTTATGAGAATTGAATAAGATCAATTGTGGGAAGTGACTGTGCCAGGCACAGAGTAGAAGGTTAATAAATGAAATCTGTTGGTATTAGGGAGAGGAGGAGGCACGACAATCTTCTGGCTTTTGGGACTTTAAATAGTTTAGTTTTGCAGGACGGGAAAACACATAGAGTCCATTCCAAGTGTCTGGTGCTTTTGACTACCTAAGCAAGGTCACCTCTTGGCCAATACACCCCTTTATCCAGTAGGAGGTAAGAGGAGCCTACCCTTTGCAGAGACCCGATACCTGGGGAGAAGAGATAAATATAGGCAGGACCCAGATTCCACCTATAACAAACCCACTCAGGAAGGAGCATAAGACAGTTATTAGCCAATTTCTACATGAGGCACATACTTATGGCCAGATAAGAAGCTTCATCATGAGGCAGAAAGAAACTTCATCACCTGAGCAGAATAGATATTGTTCTGTGGGATCTCAGTTCCCAAGGGAAGGCCCCAGAGGTAAGGTAACCTTCCAATTTATTGTCTAAATTGGGACTCTCTAGGGCAATAAACATAGACCAGGACTATCCTGGGTAAACAGAGACATGTGGTCACCCAACGCAGAGGGCCCTGTAGAAGTGATGGAACTGGTTTTAGGTTCTTTTCTATCACAACAGAGAGAGTGTCAGGAATATTCGCACTAGTGACCTTGGGGTTTTGGGTTCTTTACCCACACAAAATGCTTATTCTTTATACCTTTCAAAAAAAATATTCACAGTGTATTTTTTAAGGGTAAAAAAGCAGATTATAAAATTATACATACAGTAAATTCTAAAGTTGTAGACTATATATGCTAATACTGTATTTATATATATATATAATTTCTCAAGTTGCTGAGATTATTGGTACCTTTTATTTTCTTCTTTGCACTTTTCTGTAATTTAAAATATTACTTTTATAAATTTAAAAAATCCTTTAAAAATAAAAATTCAATACTCACTAGATTGTAAACATCTTAAGAACAGAGAGATGTCTTACTCATCTGCTAAGAATAGCCTTCTGTTTTCCGTGCCACTCCCCCATTTTACCCCAGCCTCTCTACCTGGATAACTCCTCTTCACCCTTCAAGATTCTCATCTTCTGGGATCCTCTCTTCATGCCCAATTTGAAATAAGCCCTGCTCTGGCTTCCTATATCATCCTGTTATACCTGTAACATAGCATTTATCTCAAGCAATACTCTAAACATCTGTTTGTTGTCGCCTCCCTCATCAGATTAGGTCAGGGACCATATCTGATTCATTTCTACGTCCCCAGAACAAATCCTAACACGTAAGAGATGTCAGTAAATATTTATTGAACTAACTGGCCTCTGTTTTACCTCCTTTTGCCCAGCAGAGATGGCCAGGCACACAGTAGGTGCTGTTAAATGTTTGGTAAGTGGGTAGATGAGTGAGTGAGTAAATTAAAATGCCAAGAGAAACAAGGTGAGATTGGCAACTCATGGCATATGTTAGTAATGGAAGTGTTTGTGTCGCTGTCCCCCTAGTCCTGGTCACTCGAGAGGATGAGTTCAACAACCGGCTGAACAATCGTGCCAGCTTCAAGGGCTGCACAGCTCTGCACTACGCAGTCCTGGCCGACGACTACCGCACTGTCAAGGAGCTGCTTGATGGAGGTGAGAGCATCAGCTGGATGAGGCTGGGGGGATGGCAGGGGGAGAGAATATTTGGCAGCCTCTCCACACTGGAAATGCCACGCTTGTCCAGACCCGTGACCTTCCCAGAGCTGAACATGCCTCAAGAGTGGCTGCACTTCATGAGAGTGCCCTCTGTGCACATGTGATTTGCCCTTCTGTGGTGTCTGTCTTCTTTGCCTACGCGCACATGCGCGCGCGTTTGTGATATACCACACCATCCTGCCTGTCTGCCCTTGCTCAGAAAGTTTTCTTGTTTGTTGCTCCCTACCAAAAGTGTCCTCTCTTTTCCCGTGTGACCTCCAGAGCAGGGCTAGTGGGACAGTGGAGAAGCCCTTCAAATCCCTACTAACCCAGATCTCAAAGATGTCCTCCTTGATCCCCACACCCACCCCAGTCTAAATTAGGTCCCTTCCATACTCAGAGCCATGGCACCCTATTCTTTACTGTCATTGCACTTTTCACAATTTGAAGTTGTTTTTATTTGTTCAATAGCCTTCTCCCTAACTTGACTCTGAGCTCCCTGAAAACAAGAGCTATGGCTGACTTGTTCAACCCTGTGTCCCCAGCACCTAGCGTAGTTCTTGGCACACCTCAAAGAATATTTGTTGAGTGACTGAAAAACCTCCTTTTGGAGAGCATCAGTTATAATTAGAGGGACAGTATGTGCTTTCACAGGCTCAGGCTGATCTGGTCCTGTAGGTTGAGTGCAGAGTTACCTGCTACCCTACTGGATACCTCACTAGCAGTCACTCCTCCCACTTCCCCTTATCCCACCCTAACCTTTCCTTAGGATAGGGAGGGAAGCATCTTGTCAGGCACCTATTATGCTGCCACTTCTTTGGGGCCTAGGAACTCTTTCTTGGGGCTAGACCCCACGGTCCTCCTTGTGAGGGGTCATTCTTAATATGACTTGAGAGCTGGAAGGGTCCTCAGAGGTACTCTAGGCCACCTTGATTGCCTGCCCTCTATCCCAGCAGAAACAGCTGGCTGTCTGGCATTTTCTTGGATTTGTCAGTGATAGGCCCAGGAAGACCCTGGGTAGTCCAGTCCATTTTAGTTCAGTTCTAACTGTTTGAAACATCTTCTTTTTAATGACCTATGATCTTCTTCCCTGTAACTTCTGTCAACTGTCATCTGCAGCCCAACTCCTTTTTCAAAAGCCAGTCTTCAAATAAAGTTCTTTCAATCCCAGAGCCTTGCCTCTCCAGGCCCAACATCCCCAGATCTTCTTCTAGCCCTTGTGATGTGATTCGTCTGGAGGGACTTCCCAGTAAACCCCAAATCCTGCCACCTACAGTCAGCCTCAGCCACACTGGCTTAAAACTCAGGCCTGGCCCATACCCCTAGCCTACAAGGGACCTGCCCAGAGCGCCAGAATGTGTCTTGGTCTGGGGCACATACACTGTGAAGGACAGGACTACTCATGGATATGGTGACAGCACTGGGGATGACAGATGCATTCGGAGCGAGAGCTCACTCTGGGAGCTCAAAAGCAGGGACTTAGAAAATGTCCCCAAGCAGGATACTTCTCACTTTATCCTTTGGAAAGCTCTCTGGCGAGACATTTGTAGCTAAGAATCGGAGCATTCACCATGCGGCCTCTCTCTACCATGCCTTAAAATCAGTCAGTACCCCCAGCCATTGTTCAGTAGTTTACATTACTCCCTTCCCCCCAACCCCCAAACAGATAGAGAGTTCACTTTCAAACGAGATTTTCTCCCCAGCCTTCCAGATCGAACACCTTTGAAGTGAAGAGGCTGTGGGCCTTTTATGAAGCTCCCCCCGACCCCGCCCTCATCCCCCAGGCCTAGGCTAGCCCTTTGAGCTTTTCCAGGGGCATGGTTCCTGCTTGTTGACTTGGAACAGATGCCCTTAGCCCCAACCTTTACATTTCTCCCACCTGCCTTTTTACCCAGCATCCATTTACACCCCAGGACCTAGCCTCCCAGCATAAGGGGCCAAAACCATTAACCCATTCTTATTTCTCATTCCCCAACCTGAACAAGTGGCCGTCACTCAGGGCCTGCAGGCCTGCCAACTTCTGACCTCCCTCCCCACTCAGCCTCTCTTGGTCTGCCTGTGTATGTGACCAGCCAACCGAGAGGCAGGATCATGCTGCCTTGTCCTGAGGGCTGTTGCCGATAACATTTCCTAAGTCTTCTGACCTCAGCTGACCTTCTCCAGAGGATCTCAGGGATGGCAGGAGTGCTGCCTTCCTTACCATCCAGCTTTCTTAGTTTGTACTTGGCACCAGCTTTGCTGCAGCAGCTTAGAGGGAGGCTCTTCATGAGGTCCAGCGCAGGCCTAGACACAGGTCAGCCGATGCTCATGAGGTCTACACAGAACCTTTTTCCTTGAAATTGCTTAGTCCACAGGGATTTAGAGGGTTAGAGCTAGAGTGGCCTGTAGGCAGCTTTCCTTGCCCTCTGACCAGCAGTCTTCATTTGAGAGCTGGGAGAAGATTCAGGCAGCAGCAGCATCAGTCTGATAATGTGGGAAGTTCACTGGCCCATTAGGAGGCAGCATGGAGTAACAGAAAGGGAACCTCAGGTTTCAGTCAAGTCAACTTAGGTTTGAATTCCAGCTCCACCACCTATTAGCTGTATTTTGACTTGAACTTGTTACCTCTAAGCCTCTGTTTTCTTACATGTAATACATGGTATGAGGGGATTAGTGATAATGTCTGTAAAAACCCCTGGTATGTGGTAGTTGCTTCATGATTGGTAGTTTTCATTATGACTTGTTGTACAAAGAAATCAAACTCTTAACAATATGTGTACTGACTGTTTAATGAGAAACTATTTGTTCTGTAAACCTTCATCTAAAGTACAATAAAAAAAAATTTAAAAAAAAAGAAAAGAAAAGAAATCAAACTGTCACCCTGGCAGCTATAATCCCATTCTTCCCCAAATTGGAACCTGTACTCCCACCTAAAGGCCTCTTAATTCTGTCTCTGTCCACATCCCACTCTGCCTAGAATGCCATCGTGTTACCTCTCTTCCCATCTGAGTCCTCAGACCCTTCAAGTCCTCCTTCTCTCAGGAAGCCTCTCCTGATTGTCTGGTCCACTCTAATACTTCCTCCTTTAAACTCTTACAGTGTTGGACTAGGCGCTTAGCACAGACCGTTAAAGGTCACTTCTCTTATCTTCAGGAGGCCCCATTGCATAGTGTGACTGGATTTAAATCTGAGCTCTGCTCTATGACTCTCACCTGCCTTTTTACCCAGCACTCATTTACTCTCTCTGCCCTAGCCTCCTCACCTCAAGGGCCAAGCCATTAAGCTACTTATTTCTCCCTCCGCTATTAGCTGTATTTTGCCTTGGACATGTTACTTTGCCTCTTTAAGCCTCAGTTTTCTAATCTGTAAAATAACACTTATACCTCACAGCCATTTGCCATCTCTGAGACCATGGAGTTCAGGGGCTGCTAAGATGGATCAGGCAAACTATCCCTGACCCTGAGAGACATTCAGACTGGCAGAGGAGACAGATATAGAAACAGGCAATTACAGCTGGGTAGATGCTCTGGAAGAAGGCTGAACAAGGGGCTCTGGGGACACAGAGGAGGAAACATCTGATTCTGCCTAGGTAAGTCAGTTACAGAAAGCTTCCCAGAGCAGGGGATGCTTAAGCCATATCAGGAAGGGTAGTGTGAGTTTGCCAGATAAATTTCTATGAAAGGGTTTTGAATTAACCGGCGCCAGTCTTCTACCTCCAACCTTCACAGAAAAGTAGGTACACAGGCCTGTTTTTATCTTTGAAGATGCCACTTCTGGCTGTGTTAAAGGCTTATGAGCAGGCAGGCTCTGCTTCAGCACTTGACTGAAAGCACAAGAAAAGGTTTGAGGGATGGCAGGAGGGAGAGAGAGGCAGGACCACTGAGAAAAGGAGAAATTAAGGACGGTTGCAGGAACTTCCTCCCTCAGACCTGAAACTGACTCATTTCAATAATTTCAGGACTTTTTTTTAAAAAAGGGATGTGAGCCCATTTCCAGGTCTGTCTTCCTAAAACATCTCTCTCTAATCGTGGTAGCCTTTCTCAGCCAGGGTTCCTCCTGAAAATTGAGCCCTAATTTCCTAAGGCATTTGTTGTATACAAGGAATTAATTTCTCTTCCAGGCATCTAAAATGGTAGTAGTTATGTACCATTCTTGAGAGAATTGAGAAAATCATTACTCAAATGATTTTCTGTATTTGGTTCAAAGGAGAAATCCCATTTGAGAAAGACTATAAGGAAAGCGTATGAACTTTGGAGTCAAGATCTAAATACCATCCCTACACACGTAGTAGCTGTGTGGTCCTGGAGAAGCTACCATTCTGAGGTAGTTTTTTGTTTTGTTTTTTTTCTTTTTTTAACCTCATATTCTAAGGTTTTGGAAGGATTAGAACAGATTTAGTTAGTGGGCCTGTCATAGTACAGTGCCTTCTACAGAAAAGTCACTATATATAGTATTTGTAATTATTAACTTCAGAAACATTCAGTACAAATATGTTAAAAAAAAAAAAAAAAAAAAAAGAATCCTAACCATCCTAACTTTTTAACCTGGTTTTAAAGTTGCTGTAGTCTGACCCTCACCTAGCTGACTTTTTCCCGCTGTTGCACGAATCCTGCAGCTACACTGAATTGCCAGTCCCCTGTTCCTGCCTTCCTGCCTTTACTCTTGCAGTTCTTTCTGCTTCTCATTTCCCTTTAAGACTTCATTTCTCAATCTGGTGAAATCCTTTCTAGCAGTCAGTTTCCAGCTCTAATGCCACCTCCCTTCTGATGTCTTCCCTGTTCCCTGGAATTTGGGCCCAGTCTCACCTACTAGAGCAGGGAGGTAGATTGAGGACAGGGACTATGTGTGATGATTATCTCTGTCTCCTTTGCCACAGGGCCCCACACGTAGTTCAGCCCATTTTGGATGCGCTGATAAATACCCAGAACCACTGTAGCTTTTCTCTTGGGAGATGTGGTATCTTTGCTTCCTGGCCTACC